AAGATACGCCGGAGCCCTGTGTTCGCGGGGGGCGGAATTTATGATGGTAAGGTAAACGTCAAGGAGATATCGGACGGGAGCCGAGTAGCTTCCAATGGTATCCATCACGAGTGTGTCCTTTTTTGGCCCCTCGTTCACGGTTTAAACACAAAAACTCGTTAATAAATCTCGCGTTTATGGGGATGATCTCGCGACTCGGCCGGGTGCTTTTCTTTCACGACCGATGAGGTCGTATACGATCCCTGGCCAGTGGACGCGCGCGAGTGGGGCTGAAATTTATGATGGTAAGGTAAACGTCGAGGAGTTATCGGATAGGGCCCTGGTTTTCAGCCATATCGCATTCATCACGGCCGTATCGCGGACCTGACGCGAAATCGACTGTCCGCGCACATTATGACGCAGAAACTATCGGCCGGCGGAGATGGATCATTTTTTGGTGTCCACCAGCTCCGATGGGCACGGGGTCCGACCCATCGTTTCCGCGGGACGGCCAGAGATGAATCACTCCGTCGGCCGTCCATCGTCCGATGGGCCCGATCCAATTTTATGCGACGTTTCCGCCGAATTTCCCCCCCGCCGAGGCCACTCGATACTCTCGAGTCGTCCATTCGGCGGAAGTACAGAAATAAAGGGAAAAAGGAAAGAAAACGACCCGACTCCGAACCTCCCCTTAGAATCCGCCTCGCCAATGTCCTTAAACTTGGAAAGTCGGACAAAAAGGCACCTCCATTGTGCCCCAGAGAAAGTGGACGGTAAAGGAGACACTGCGTCGAGTGATTTGCAAGTTTCCGGGTAGGATTTTTTTTTTTCTACTCTTTTTTCTTTCATACCGTCGACAGGTCGAGATCCTCGTAAAAAGGCTGACGCCTCCTCGGGCAGGTGGCTGCCATCTTGTCGGCATCGAAGTCAAAAAGTTGGGAACTGGGAGGGTGGAGGCTCCCCCTGATGCTCCGAAAGTTTACATGGCGTTTTTCACCTTTTTTCCTCCCTTCGCGAGCGGACTACTTCGGTAAAAAGAGAAGGTCCTCTTATCGGCCGCTTCAATCCGGGCGAAACGGCGCGTCTCGTCCGCTCGATTGATGGGCGTCATTTATTTATTTCATTCATCGGCCGTCCTCGGGTTTTGTCTATTCGTTTTATTCGTTATATTCATTTTATTCCCTCCCCCGGGGGCTATCCAGAATCGGTCGCCTCCCCATCCGTCCTCGCAATCCGGTCATCGAAAATCTCTCGTGTTTTCGCCATGTCCCGCCTAGTTAGTACCACCGCGGAAATTAAATGACCCGAGAGAAATATCAGCCCGCTTAATGGAAAAGCCCTCTCCAGAGATGGATTTCGGGAGCCTGGAAAACCGAGGAGTCCTGCCCGGACACCCGGTGGGAAATCGACGGGGCAGTCCGGGAGTTGCACGAAGTCATTGAATTTACAACGGGGAATTTTTTATCGGTTTACTCCGACATGGATATCCCCCGGCCAGTGAATAGAGCAAGTCAGGCACGACAGTGAAATATACATTTCCCTTCGCGGGGGGGTCGGGGGGACGGACCTCTGCGGCCCGAAAAGAGTTATCGACCTCGGATAACTCGTGATGCGAATTTTCAAAATACCCAACTGAAGGCGATTGCTCGCCTCTGCACACTAAAAGAAGCCAGTCTTTTTCGGATATACTCCAACCCCCGGCCATTTTGCGACACAGTTTGCTCCGATCTCGCGGCCAGAAGTCCGGTCACGCAAAAAATCTCGGCGACACCCCAGGGTAACTTCCTCGTCGCCCACCTCTGGAGCCATTGTTCTCTTGGGATGGGGAGGAGAGACTCTTTTTCCCGAGACAGTGCCCCGGAGAGGGAATTTGCAATTTTTAATCGCCCCTTTACGCCCCCCCGAGGATACCTCGAGGAAATGCCGAAGGACTTTCCCTCAAAGAGGAGCTCTTTGATTGCACCCCGCCGAATCCTCGGTAAATTCTCGTAGATTTCGGAAAATTTAGAGAGTAAATCACGTATGGAAGTACGGCGGGGGAATTTAGTGGAGAAAAGTGTGGACAATCTGAGGGGATAATTAACCGAGAATGTCGCCCGGGGAGGGATTTGAATTTTCAATGGGCGGAGGGCGTACGTACTCCGGCTGACGGAGTATGTAATTACTGCCGAAAATAGACAATATCGGTAACGTCGTTGCCTCGCAGGGATCCCAATTTCGCGTGGATCCTCCGAAGCGATCGAGATGCCCTGTGCCTCTTCGGGCCGACTAATTGCAATTTAAGATCCATTGCATAAAGACGCCGTAAGCCGGCGGGGGGAGTTTAATTGCGCTCGAGGAATAATCTGGCTTTGACTCGAGCGAAAGAAACGGCCGCTCTTTCGCTAACCTGAGTCATATTTGAAGTCACTCTTTTTGTTTTTCCCTCCCTCTCTCTTTTGTGCGACGATGAAAAGTAGATCCGTATCCGGGGAGGAACTCGGAGGGACGCGATATTGAGGAACGGCGAACGCAATTATTCTTCCTCGCCGCGGGAAAAAAAAAAAGAGAGAAAAAAAAATCTACACCGAGGTTCTTATCGCGGAATTATTCCCGGCCCGTGTGAGGGGGTCCCGGAGGAAGCGAAAAGCGAGAAAATAATTATTGTGCCTGTATGTGGGGGGAGGATCGAGCCCGGGATAATTGTTTTCGAATAATTGTATTTTAATACGCTGCGCGCACGAAGACGTTTTGTGTGGAGAAGGGAGGGTTTAATTGCGCCTGAGGAATAATCCGGCTTTGACTTCGCGGACAGTGAAAGAAAGGGCATTCTGTCTCTATCCCTCTAACCCGATTCATATCCCTGGTTTCTCTTTTTTCATCTTTTATGTGGCGATGAAAAGTGAATCGTACTCCCGATGGAATACGGCGCGGCTGGATCCGCCGTATTGAGGGCTGACAGAAGCCGGTTTTTCTCTCCTCTTCTTTTACAATATCTCCTTTTTCAGCATCGCCGCTCTAATATCATAATCCCGAGATTTCATACTCGACTCGCGCGAGGAATCGGGGAGGACGTAGGAAAAATAATTACGAAACTAGGTTACTTTACGCTTCGAAGAATTGCACTTTAACGTGCTTTGCATAAATACGGCGGGGAGGGATATTTAATTGCGCCCGAGGAATAATTCAGCTTTGACTCCGCGGCCACCAAAAGAAACTGCGGTTATACCTTCCTTTTTCGCTCCTTCTCTTTTTTTTTTCTTTTTCACCAGCCTGAATTTCATTCCACGGGTCCCATTTTCCTCTTTTATGCGGCAAGGAAAAGTGGCCGAACTCGAGGAGGGATACCAACGCCGCCGCCATATTGGAACCGCTTCCACTCGATTCTTTCCGCATTTTGTTCCTCTACGATCAATGATTATCCCGCAATTCTAACCGTAATCCCCGCGTACGTTTCCGTGCACCTCGCGAGCACGCAAAATATATTTTCGGTCGTTAATCGGTCGCCTTGCGTCTCTTCCGCGATCCAATATGGCGGCTCCGGGTCGGCGAGCGAATCGCAACATTTCCGGGGAGGATTGTTTCGACTTCACTCTCCCGGCGAACGTTTATTACATTTCTGACCCAAATCCTGCGAAAGTTCCGCAGGTCCCGTGCCAATGTACAGCCGGCGACATTAACGGCCTCGCGCGTTTCGAGTTTCTCGCGATTTTTATCGCGACGTCCGGCGAAACGAATCTCCCCCGGGGGATTTTATCGCGATCGCGTCCCTAACGAGTCGCGTAAATTTCACCCTTAACGCGGATCCTTCCGGGAGTTTAGAAAATTCCCGATTCGCCGGCAGAACGAGGGTAATTTGTAAGCTGGATTTATCCGCAGCGGGCGGGGCTCCGTTCTGGTAAAAAAAAAAAATAAAAATAAAAAAAATAAATCCAAAGCGGAAGCGTAAATTTGTCCCAGATCACCGAAGCCCTCCCCGCGGCCATTCTTCTTTCTCGACGCAAATCCCATCATTTGCCTCTGCCGAGAAAATAATTCCCAATTAATCGTCGCATATCCGGGACCAGGGAGGACGCTCCAGGATGGGTCGTCCCTCTTGGACATCCAGTCTTCCTCCAAGGAGCGAACACACGGTGCACCTCCTTACGAGTTCCCGAAGAACTCGTCGTCCTTACAGGATGATCCTCGACTCCACATATGGACGGCGCTCTGCATGTGTCGGGGGATTTGCAGGGGGTCTTTGCTCTTCGGCGAAGTGTAACTATGTACCGGGGTCTCCGTGCGAGGGTACATACCCATCCACTTGGATTTGGCGAGGAAAGAAGGAATCGAATCGCGTTTTTCCGAGTCCATCCCCCGGGTCGTGGACCCACCTCTTGACCTGGCCTCGGCCGCTGATGGTGTTTCTTATGGTGCACAGGTGTCGCGGCCCATCGCGGCGAGAGGGTCCAGAGCCCATCGACTATCGGCCTGGTGGGATTGACGAGGTCCTTTCCAGGATTTACGACCACTCCTGGTCCGGGTCGAATCTCGGCGCCCTCCGGTTTCGGCGAGTCGTCACCCCGGCTCGTTACAAAGCGCGGATCAGATTTTCCAAAATCTCATCTCCCCCCTGCTAATCCCCTCCGCCCTCTCCGAAGCCCGGGATCCCGCCGATCGAACCCGACACCGCAGGACAGTCCCTCGCGGCGTAGCGTTTCCAATAACGCCGTCACGTTCCTTCCTTGGCCTCGTCCAGGGCTGCCAATAGCAGAAAGTCGGAGGGGATTTTCCTCTTTCGCACCTCCATTGATAAGTGTACCCGAATCTGGGGAAGATCCGGGAGGTGAATGGACGTTGCATCCGGTGGTTAGCCCGGGATGGGCGACGAGCATAAAAGGAACGGTCTGTCAGGGGTCCAGCATCCGTTGCACCTGTCGGGATGCGTCGCGACAGGTGCCTCTTGGCGCGGTCTCGTCGCCAAGCGCGTTAATGGCCGTTGGTCCATTGACCGGATCGCGTTTCCATGAGGTGGCTGACGGGGGCTCTTCTCTGTCCGACAGGTGTCGTGGATCAAGCGGAAGGACGTCCAACATCTCCTGACCGTCGGCCTGGTGACTTACTCGAGCGATGGGCGCTTCTCCGCGGTCCACTTCCACCACAGCGAGGACTGGACCCTGCAGATCAAGTACGTCCAGGAGAGAGACGCCGGCTTGTACGAGTGCCAAGTGTCTACCCACCCACCCACGAGTATATTTTTGCACCTAGAGGTCGTCGGTAAGTCGGACGAGCGTCCCCCTAACTCCCGAAATTCCAGATGAACTCATCAGCTGATCGGCTGATCCAGTGCCCCGATACATCCGGTAGGTCCGCGTCTCCAAACTTTCCCGGGTTATTAATGTGCATTACCAGGAGCAAGGGAGGACTTCCAAGACCGCCCTGCAAGCGCTGCTGGAAATCGAGCTTGTTTCCAGACTAGCATCGGTACCCACCCTCTATACTCGGTCCCCACTTAGGCACTTCCAGGAGAGCTCTGCAAGCTCCGCCGCACTTTGCTCCAAAACGGGCCTGACACCCTCCTACGATATGTAGGCCTTCCGTGCCGGGTCCGATAAGCGGAAGTAGTTTCCCGAAAATTTCTAGACAAGGACCCTCGAAATCGGCTTCTTCCTAGGCCTGGGATCGCCTCTCGGGTGGAAACGCAAAGTGAAACGTCGCAGTTCGCGTCATGCCAGGTGTAGTTTAGGATAGAAAATTCATGACGGGGGCGACCCTCGATCGTTGTTTTATTCACGCCCCGTATTTCCGTATTTCGGAACGGAATGGAAACCCGGACGACCTCCTTCGTCGGCACGAATGCACGCGTCAGCAGAGATTCGAAGAGATGCCCCGAGTCTCGGGTCAGGGGCAAATCCCTGCTCCTTGATGGCCACTATCATCCTGGACGCGTATCCCGGCTACGCCCGAGATCTCTTCGATGATTCCACGCTGTAAAGAAAAGGAAAAAAAAAAGAATGACAATGGCTCTAAAACAAAGAACAGCCCCCGGCGATCGATGCAGGAAACCACCCTCAATGCAGCTAAACTCGAACGTGCAACCCTTTTACCGATCCTCCTTTCGAGTGAGCACTTCATCCCTCGAGTCACCTCCCATCGCATCCTTAAAATACAGACCTCGCGTGGAAAAATACGCGAGATCGGCTCTCTCGACGCCACGAGGAAAAAGGGGAAAAGTTACAGGAGCAGCGATACGGCCAGATAAAGGTCTCTCGCAATGCCCGAGGAAATATTGAACTGAATTACAGCTGTAGTTGGCAACGGAAGAAGTCTGCATCCATGATGTGTTGGATACGGCTGCCAAGGAGGGGCTGTTTTTACAGGGGGGTTTTTACGCGTTTTTCCATGGAAAAATGTCAAGCCCCTCGATAGCCACCCCGTCGAATTATACTTCTCCTGTCTGGCCATCGAACCTAACCCCCCCAAATTTCCGGAGCCGCCATCAGTTCCATTAATTATTCCAAATATTAACTCGTTACAATTAATTCAAGGTACATATAAAAAGGAGACAATTTCCTCACGGCTTTCGTTACATTGGACCGTTTAAACTTTAACGCGATTACCCCGTCCGGGGAACTTGAGAAGTTTTAACAGGCCCTCGACAAAGCCCCATAGTTATCATTTTCCTCGGCGGGAGACGCCTTTAAAGTGTTGAGCGAGATATTTTCTTTTTCCTCCTCCTCTCCTCGGCGCAAACTTGGAAATTCTTGTTTACCCCCCGGCGTCGAGAATAAACGTTCCGGTTAATCATTTCCTTCGGGCATTCGGGGTGTTTTCAGGTTTTACAGGGGCTTTTTCGATACGCGACACCCCTCGGCAGGCGATAAAACTCAGTTCCGGGGGATTCAAACGATCGAAAGAAATCGCCCGTAGTGGCTCGCTACGTACACGATGGCGTCTTATGTACAGGGAAAACGTCCCCTGTAACTGGGGCATATTCGAGAGGCCGCTCTTTCGCGTTTCCTCCGCGAAGCAATTCCCGGCAGCAGGTTGGGAAAATTCGAGGATTCCGCGAGGACGTGTCTCCAATTGACCGGGCAGTTTTACAAGTCGGCTCGCCTTATAAATCGCCGCGGTAAACAGCGGGAGCGGAATTACGGGGAAAAAAAAGGGGAAAAAAAGGAAAAACAAAACTACAGCCGGCGGGAATTTTTCAGCCAGCGTTTAATACGGCGGGTTACTATTACGCCACGTTTCCTCGGTTATTGCGTCGCGGAAAGTACATTCGGTGGAAAATTGTCCGCCCTGGGTACGCGGGGTCCGGGCAAACGAGGGGAAATATTCAATCCAGTTTCCACGGGGCAGATTTACTGCTAATGCACGCGTATAAGGAAAGTTACGACCGGTCGTACGAGAAGTTTGGCCGGACTGGCAGGAGAAACCGAAGAGCTGGCACAACCCTGAAGAGCCGAGTCCCCGGCACCCCGAAACCCTGACGTATCGCTGCGGCGGATCTAGGGGGTGGGATTAAAAATGTCAAGCAGATCCGAGCGCTCGATCCATCTCTTGGATGAGATCGAGGGTGGCCGAAATTATCGGGTTACCCGATGCCGGGTCGGAACTTCGAGCGACATCGAGCAATTCGATATCAGCTATCTCGATGTTACCCCGGTTATCCGAGACGGAAGCCGTGCTTTTAATAAAATTAAAACGAACCGCGTAATATTAATTTCCCGTAGACCGGATACCCCCCGGGGCTCGGATATTTCCCGACACATGGCGTAAACAAATAAATACATAATAAGTAAGTGAAGAAATAAATGATCAGCCAAACAGCGAGTCGCAACGAGGGAGGTCGCCCGACGAATTTGCGGCGGGTTAACAAATTTACCGGCCATTGTTTGCATTAGTTAAGAGTTTCCTAAGGCAATTACGGGGGTCCTTTCAGCCCTGATATATTCCCCAACATCGAGCTATTGGTTATTAACGAAGTATCCGGTAATATCGGCCGTACACGGTAATCCCTTGTATACGCGTATCCGACGATAGCGTGTAATCACCGGACCTATATTTCCCCGGATAAATTTCCGAGCTCCAGATACGCCTGCCCCCGAGCTCGCGTTTCTTTACGTCTCCATACGAATCGATAAGGTGCGCCCCCGCGTGCCGTTTCAATATTTGTTCTTACGTTTGCATGGATACGCGTCCGTAAGTAGGCCGAGGGAAAGAAGGGCGTTGATAAACCTATCGTTTGTATGCGCTCCCCCGAGGGACCGGAGGGGGTGGAAAGGGGAGACGACCTTATCGATCCATCACTCCCAATTTCGGGGATTCGCAGCTACCAGGCTCCGATCCCTCGACGTTACGCGACATCCATGAGAACCACTTTCGCCCGTCCGAAGGATGCCACCCCTTCTGTTCTCGCGGGCGTGTCGCCGCCACCCCCGGTCATGGAATTCGATCTATCGCCATCGAACACCCCCACAACTCCCCGGCAGGGTCTCCTCGAAACCGAAGGAGACCGGAAACCTCGGAAGGGCGACTAAAAAATCATCAACCCGGGGCCATGAGATCGTCGGGCTTTTCGATGGCTCTCCATATCCCGAGGGACCCCCGGACTCCGGGTGGAAAAGTCGGATTTCACCCCGGCGAAACTTTCCGAGAGGTTCCTTCCACTCCACTTCGCCTCTTCTCTTTCTCTCCTCTTCCCCGCGGGAGTCTCTTCGAATCCTCGTCCGAACTCCAGGAAAGAGTGCTGGAGAGAAAGGGAAATTTTGGGGTCCTCTCTATGGGAGTTAATTGTTTGTGCCGAGAATAATAGAGATTTAGGGTAAAAAGAGATATTTTCACCCCCGGCAAAGGACCTCTGGTAAGGTACTCCCCCTTCAGGGATAATTCCACCGATGTCGGAAATCTCCGTGAAAATTCAATTTGTCTCGTCGGTGCATTGCGAGGAAATTGGCCAGTTCATTTTGTTCCCGTCGATTCTTAAAATGGAAAATCTCTTGTCATTACCCTGTCGACTTTCCGCGTGTCTTTGCAGAGGCGAGAGCAGAGATAGCCGGGCCAGCGGAAAAGTTCGTGAGGCCCGGATCCACCCTGCAGCTGCACTGCCAGGTGCAGCGGTCGACGGAGGCGCCGTCCTACCTGTTCTGGTATCACAACTTCAGGATGATCAACTACGACGTGGACAGAGGCGTGAACGTGAGCACGGACCTGTCGAACCGCGAGAGCTGGCTGGTCGTGCCGCACGCGGCCGACCGGCACTCGGGCAACTACACCTGCGAGGCGAGCAACGCGCAACCCGGAAGGGTGCTGGTGCATATCTTCAACGGGGACAACCCTGCGGCCATGCAACACAGCCTGGCTTCGACCCCCTCGTTGATGGTGTGTCTGGGGGTGATGGCGTTGTCCACGGCGGTAAAGCAGGCCCTGTGTCCTCAGTTGAACATCGAGCCCTGCTGAGGACCCTGGCGAGACTCTTCGAGGTCGAGCAACCTCATGGTGTAACCACGGTGACGATGGTAACCATGATCACGTGGGGCTTTGAAAATTGACAAGAGTGATTCGAAAGTGACTCGGTGCTTTTGATGTCGCCAAAAGTTGGGCTCCTGTCCGGAAAGGCATTTCCAATTCCTCCCCCAGGAGCCGGACAATTCCCGACGTCGCGCATTGTGCAGAAGCATGGTGCATCATCCAGGGCGCCAGGCGTCCTTTCTCCAGACATTCGAAGGCGGATCGGTATTCGTGCGGTTTGGCCGGTCTCTGTTGCGGTGCCGCAGCATGCCGCAAGGCTCCTGCAAGGAAGTGTTCCATCGGTTCCAGTGGCACGACCACGTGCGAAGAGGCGCACCGAGGAGGGAATTTCGGTGTGGATCCCATCCCGAACTTGTCCCGAAATCCGGTGGTCATGGGAAGCGCCGATATCCGGCGCGTCCCCCGACCAACGTCTTCTTCGAGTACCCGGTCCGCAGTTGTCGGAATTCCCTCGGAATTCTGACGGAATTTAATGGGCGGGATGAACCGCCACTGGGAGGATGGACGGGACCAGAGATTCGCCATGTCTCAAGCAGAAGACCATCATCCCATGGACCATGGCGAAGGACCGAGACCCATCCACCATGGAAACAGGACCTCGTTCGGCGTCGACTACCAGCGTCGAAGAGGACGTCCCGGCCGGAACTGACCTATCCCCCGAATTTCCTAAGTTTTCCTCTTTCCTGAGTCTCCCAGTTTCCCTTGGACCCCATAGGAAGGTGTGGCAGGATTTTCGGTAGCAGCTCCCGTCCGGCGTGATCAACTGCTGGTCCCACGGAGCCGAGGGTCTCCTGCCCCGGCAGCTCCGGCTTCGCGGCGGATCTTATCCGTGATTTACGGAAGTTCCCCGCTGAACTTCCGGCCGGATCGATGGGGTTCTCGCGGCGTATCGGTCCGATCTCGGATTCCGTCGCGTTTTTCCCGGCGTGGATTCTCTCCTCCTCGACTTTGTCGCCGACGTAATGGGCCGATGTAATACGGTGCTTCGGGCTCGCCAAGGTGTACCGGGGGGGCGCACTTGGTACATGGTGTACGAGAGGTACATGGCGCACCTCGGGTACATGGCCACGCGTGGCAATGCCTGTGCCACGTATATTCCTGCCCGATCAGCCGTTTTATGCTCGCCTACGTAAGATGGGACTGTATATTGACTGAGGCTTCTCGGATGCTCTGCACTTACTGTATGCACGGTACGGTTACGATGCACCCCTTGTTTCATGTTTTATTGCGGCTCTCTGCACGGGGGACTTTGGATGCCGAGTTTATTGCACGGGGACGATCGTTCCTAGACACTTTTACAGCTCGTGCGATGGTTTATACGGTGGATCCGCGGGTGCTGATCCGCACCCCCAGGGGTGGATCATGCGTCGACCCGGAGGGACAGCTTCCCCTCTTTGGATCGAACTTCTGCAAGGATTGGCCAGGGTTTTTCGGCTCGACTTCAAAATCAATCGGTTCTCCAAAATCCTCAGTCGCTGATAATCCGACCTAGCGCGGAATCCGGAAATTTATGCCGGAAACGCGGACCCTCGTTAGCGGGATTCTGTTATCGGGTATCGGATAAATCCTGCCAAATCGCGAAAGCACGGACGACTCGAAATTACAACCGTCTGCTCGCCAGGAATTAATAACGAGAAATTGGATAAAAGGAAAGAGAGGGAAAAGGGGGGCAGTAAAACAACGCGGCGTGGTTCATTATTCCGCGTTAATATGTGACGATCTGCGTTTTCGGGGCAACGGATATAAAAAATTCACCCCGTCATCGGGCTCGATTGGCTAATCGGAGGGGTTATCAATTTGCGAGGGAAAATATTTCTTTCCCCATTGTCGCCCCCTAGATGGAGACGAAGTACGGGGTACGGATTAATTATGGAACCCCCTTCTCGGGGAGATATTAAAAGCCTGGAGCGGAAAAGCCGGGATCAGGCGGAGCGACTTTCAGGACGAAGTTGTTTCTCCGGGGAGTTATTAAAAAAAAATCCCAGGAGCGGAAGGTTTTAGCGTCCTCCCGGGAATGAATAAAGAGGGGAACCGGCTGGAAAATGTCCCATGGTCTGTTTAACGGGGGTACGTAACCGTGTCTTACAGACAGGCCAGTTAATGAATGCCGAGAATTGGGTTTGCTCCCAACTCCCTCCTGTTTACAGACGTGGCGCAGAGCTTGGATGCTCGTCTCTCGATTTACATAGGAAAGTCGGGACACGCACGGATGCCGGAGGAGAGACACGCGTCGGGAAGTCCTCGAGGAAGCCACCTAGAGGTGTCCTCGCGGGCCAAAACGCCGGAAATGGGATCCCTCCTCCAAGGGCCGCCTCCACTTTTCCGGGGAGAAGTCGTACCCGCGAGTATCTCGTCGCGGTGCTACTCGTTGGGAAAATGGAAAATAAACGGAGGACGCGAAACCCTGAAAATGCCGGGCGGAAAATCGAGGCGAGTCTTGAGGGGTCCTTTCGAATATTTATATTCCTCGCGTCCTACGTCCATCCTTACCGCGAGTGGCAGGAATTGTATATTACGGCGGGCCGTCGAAAGTGGATTCACATATTTAAATAGTAGGACGAGAGGAAGGCGTTCGGTGAGATTTTCGAGATGGAGTCCGAGGGGAAAGAGCTCCGAGCCCACCGGAAGTCCTTCGGCGGCGCGACGCCCGATCCCGGAAGTCGCTCCGAAATTCCCCCAAAACGTCGATCCTGTAAATTCATCCCTTGGGATTTTTTTATCGACACCTAAGGAGGACTGCCCTGACCTTCCTGAATGTTCATTATCGATCGCCAGTCGGGAGGAAATCGACCGATCGACGGTCGGCGTCGGCGTCGATCGGGAATTCAACAGGCGAGCCCGATATACTTTTCCCTGGTATTCGCGGATTTGGGATCCCGAGCCTCCCCCCTTAACGCGAATTTCCCCGATTCGGGAACCCCAGATATTCGGGGGCGAGTTCGTAGCGATTAACTCGGCGGAATGTTACATGATCGATATGCAGACTAGGGCTGTCAGGGCCAGAATTTCAATTGAAGCTTAAGCGGACATTTGGTTGGATTCGCGAGTCATTGGCTGGTTTCAGTGGCGTTAACCAATTACAGGAAATTTGCGGGTTTGCCCGAGTGTCTATTAAACTGCGGTCGAAGTGTCCCCTCCCCCGCTAGGGAGCCGTTTAATCGCCGAGGGCCTGGATTTCCCTTCAGGCCGAAACGCTTAATTCGGAAAGCCTCGGTACGTCTATGAAAAATCAATGTGTCCTCTCCATCTTGGATTACCGAGGCTCGCGCGAGCCCGCTCGAATTATTCCTAACTCCGCTCAATTGATCACCTCAAATCTGTAAATATTTATTTTTACACATCCCGGGGAGATGGTTCCCGTCATCATTTATCACTGCGGGCAAAATTTCGTTGAGTGGAAAGTAATGTTGATTTACCGGGAATTCCGAGCCGAGTATGAGCGGTCCTTTCGGCGAGGACGATCCGCTCCAAGATCGGAGGATCCGCGGAATTCCACGTCAGGGTGCTCGCGAGACGTTCCCGAAATCCGTCGACGTCGGCCCTTCTACACGGAGACGTGGAAAAATGGCGGCCGATAAGGAATTCGATGTAGCCAGTAGACAGGTAGATGACACGGCGGGCAGATTCCCGAGATTCGTCGTCCTCCAGGCCGGAGAAGCCGTCCCGAGATCTCGACGAGGGCGAGCGACAACCCCGAAGACGGGGGGAAGACCTGTAGAAATAAATCACAACGATCCCCTCCTTTATACATACATATATATATATACACACATATTTCCGAAAAATCTTTTCCCCGGCCGCGCCGATCCACCGTTACCGACTAGCGAAGGAATGTTAATTTTTCTTGAATAAATAATGCCATTGTCAGCGGTCTTCGATCTCACCGGAGACTCTCCTTGACACCCCCCAGCCGACCCGAACAAGTCCAACCCCGAAGAGCGGAATTACGGTAACGAGGAAACGAGCACATAGTCTCACATAACGAACCTCTCCCTTAGACATATTAAAAGGCACGTACGGAGGGCATGGAATATTAAATAGGGATTTAAACGGAGAATTCCCGGCAGTCTAGGCGGACCCCTGAAAAGCCGGCGGTTCAGGGGGCGCAATACCGCGGTGGGATAAAAAGGGGATAAAAAGTGGACCCGACGATACGAAACCCCTCTGCCTGCGGTCTACGTTGCGATTCAACCAGTATGTGCATTTCAATTCCCACGGGACTTTTAACGGTCGACGTCGCCAGCGGTGACATGCACCGTAGTCAATGTTGCCTGTCATTGACGCGTTACACCCGCGCCAGGACACCGCGTAATGCCATGTTGCGCGGCAATTACAGGGGAGGAAAAATGAGGAAAAAAGATATTCCGCGGCAGTTTAACCCGCTACTCGGACTAGGCATTCATCGGCCGGGAGAGATGTGGGAAGGCTCGGTCAGCCATCACGGTAGTAAAGATGCGTAGGCGGCTGCGTTCCGCGCCAAGTGCACGCGCTCCGTCTCTGGGGGGACGCTCGAATTAAGGGAACTCCGGGTGTTAACGAGCCACATGAATATTCATAAATAACCGTTCGAGGTGGGTTTACTCCCGCCACGAGTCGCGCGTCCCTCAAAAGTCTAATATTCCTTCCGAGGCGCTCTTCGGCCGTGTTCGCGGGACGTTTCGCGCTTTGCGCCGACTTGGGTATTCATGTCGTAATTTTTCCAAGTCATGCACCGCACCATCCAGTTATTGCAGTTATTGCGCCCGTGTCGCTGCAGGGATGTCTCGCTGTTCCGGATTCCCAGGAGCGACGCGTCGCGGACAGGAAGGGGTTACTTGCCATTCGCCGCGACTTCCTGGCGTCTCATTCAGACCGCCATTGTTTCTTCCTGTCCCCCGTTAAGTCCCTTTCCATTCCCCGGGGAATTAAAACCAGCCGATCGATCCGGA